GTTTCTCCTGCACTCCATCACCACCCCCAATACCCACGCCCCACAGGTGCAGGCCTCGTGTCTGCTCCACCCTCCTCCCCCGAGCTCGGCAGCTGGCACAGACGTACCTCCCCAGGAGCATGCCTCGGGAATAATTTTGAGCTTCTTTCTGATGGGGCCATTCATGAGCTGACTCAAGGCGTCCTGTTGGAGGTATCTGACGTGGCGCTGGTAGAGGGGAGCTGAAACCCAACAGGTGCACAGGGAGTCAAAGGACCCAAGGCAAAATCACAAGGATGTCTTTTTCTCAAGCTATTGAAGAGGCGGTGCTGTGAAAGGGTCACTTTGATTGACCCCAGAGCGGGGAAGCAAAGTCAGAAACAGGCTGCAAGGAGAGATGCTGGATGTTTTCTGATCCCTGCTGTCTGTGAGCGTGGGGCCATCCGGATTACCCTGGATGGCCACAGGAAACCGCCTAAGAATTAGAAAAGAAACGGCCAGGGCAACCTTCAGATGGAAATAGGACTCTCATGGAAGAGGATGTTGGGTCAGCGGCAAGGTAGCCGAATCCCACGTCAGGAGAACTGACATTGCAGTCTGACGTAGGGCAGGCCGTCTCTACTGTTGCACAGAGCAAGCTCCGCGAAGGACGCGGATGAAACCCAAAGACGATCTGGTTTAGGTTCCTTTTCTATGAACTGTGCAGAAAGGGCAGATGGATGGGGACCGAACCAGAGGCTGGGGAGGAGAACCCACTGCAAAGAGGCAGGCAGGGTCTTGTTTGAGGGATGGGGGAACTGAATTTTGGTGGAGGCTGCAGAGCGCGGTGAATGTACTAAAAACAACTGTGCTCTGCACTCCAAGTGGGTGGCTTTTAGGGTCCACTGCAGGCCAGTACTGTCCCTGGTTTTCAAGCCTTCCTCGGTCTCCCTGCGCGCACAGGCTGGGGCAGGGTCTGACAAGCACCAAGGCCCACTCACCGAGGTGTCTCTGGGTGAACTCGAGGCTCGACTGCTTGGCAAACATGGGGGTGCTTTTCGTTAAGATGTTGTAGAAGTTCACCCCGTCGGTGTTCTGAAAAAGCAAAAGGACATTCTGCGCTGTGCTGTCTTCATCTGTCCATCACCGTCCACCGTGCAGAGCGCAAAAGAGGCCTGACTCCCCCCACCCCCACCCCACCCCGGCTTATCAAAGGCGAGCTTTCATTCTGTCCATTTGCTCGGACAGCAAGAAACACAGCGCTGAAGGCTCAGAAAACAGCTGGGTCAGCCCACCTACCTCCTGCAGAAGAGCACCCAGGGGCTGGGTGCTCACCTCCCTGAGCACAGTGCTGCAGAGCCGCCCCCGCCCCCCAAACACGAGTCCTGACCTGTGCTTTCTTCCTTTGGGCTCATTGGACCTGCTTTGTCTCAGAATAAGGGATAGCCTGTCTCCAAGGGACACACTCTCCCCTACAGACTCCGCTCTTTCTAACAGAACACAAACACTCAGTCAAGGCACCAAGAGGTTTGAAGGCCTGGGTGGCTTCCGTATTGGGGTGAAGGGTGACCCAGGAGGCCTGGGGGTGCTGTGACTGAGTCCCCGACTGCAAACTGAAGGCTGGCCATTGGAGCCCACCCCGAAGCTCCCTGGGAGGGAGATCTGGTGATCTGCTTCCTGAAGATGTAAAATAAAAACCCAAACCAACTGCCATCACCTCAGTTCCAGCCCATGGTGTCTGAAGACAGGGCTTCTGAGTCTGGGAATCTTCATGTGGAAGCAGAGAGCCTCATCTTTCTCCCCTGGAGTGGATGGAGTTTTCAAACCACTGATGTTGTGGCTAGCAGCCCAGCGCTCACCCCACTGCATCACCTGGTTCTGGAAGACCGTAGTCGAGAAAAAACCTGTGAGGCAGTTCTACTCTGCCCTGTGGGCTCGCTGTGAGTCTAAACTGACTCGGCAGTGCCTAACGACGTTGCTGTGTAGCCTCGACATGTGTGAACCGCACGATTTATTGTCCAGAATGCAATCCTTCCTCGACAGGTGTGAACCGCACGATTTATTGTCCAGAATCCAATCCTTCCTCGACAGGTGTGAACCGCACGATTTATTGTCCAGAATCCAATCCTTTCCAGCAACAGGAGAGGGCTCTGGACAGATCCCAATCCTGTCAGCACCAGCCACTGAATTTCGCCCCCTGAGACCCTCCCCAAGCATGGCCCCCTTTACCTGTTCAATGACCATTTCTGCTTTCCCCCACAGCTGCGTGGCCTCCTTGTAACGCTGACTGTTGACAGCATCCAGGACCTGCTCGGCCACCGTGGTCACCTCGGCCAGACCCTGGTCATCCAGGAGAGACTAGAAGGCAAGCCCAGAGAATTGGCTATGAAAGCACATCCCTCCCCCAGCAAACACTACTGCCCAGCACACGCACGCATGCATGCAGAGTTCATGTTATCACTGACTGGCTCCTGGGCTTTGTACTTGACAGAGTGTGTTAAAATCTAACTGCTCCCTGCCAGTTTTCTTTGGGGTATGAACCTCACAGCCACCAGATGCAAGTCAGGAATCTGAATTAAAACCTAGTTTGGAGATAAGAGCAATCAAATACCTTTTAAGGGGAAAGAGGGGTCGCTTGCAAATGGACTGGATTTTAAATCATACTGAGAAGCCATTGTTCATTTTCTTAGGGATACTAACAGGACTGTGTTGACATCGGAGGATGGCCTCATTTGGGGAGTATGATAAAAACCAGGCATAAAATTGCATGCCTGCCACATCATCTTTCAATACTTGAGCAAACAACTGTACACACAAATCCACGTAAAAACACAGATATTTACTGATGAGGGCCCTACAGTAAAATGTTCATGGGCTCTAGCTGATGGGGCTTTGGGTGGGGGTGTCCACAATGACCCTCACTTCCCTGCCAATGGTGCCCCGCTACCATTACTGCGCTTTCGACCACAGGCTCCTTAGAAGAATCTTGATCAAAAGGGAAGGCACGCAGGACAGAATTTCAAATCCTTGTGAACCCCACCCACTCCCTGGAGTCATAGAGGCTGAACAGCTCCCTGCAATGATTGCCCTTTAAATCTTAAGCCCCCAAATAGTCTCTGGAGTCGTCTGAACACCAAGTCAGATGGCCTACCTGGTTACAAAGAAAAAGAAAAAAGGTTGCCTTGACTGGGCAGCATGCGCTCTGAAGGACTCTCTGAGTGGGAGTCAAGGGACAACAGCCACTGCAGAGAGCAGACAAACTTTCAGAGGACGTCGGCCATCGAATTGTAGACACAGAAAGGCAAATGGCCTGGGTGTACGTTTTGCTGTGTATATTCTCAACAAAAAAAAAATTTTTTTTAAGTCAGGGGCTTAAAACAAGAAGGTCTGTTGAAGGCTACAATCCCGATGACCCTCAAAAGCCTCACGCTAGCAAAACAAGTCACCTGCAAAAGGACAACTATCGCCTGACCCCTGACCTGAAACAAGCAGATTTGGGGATCGAAGGTTGTTCGTCATTCACAGGCAGTAGGGAGCGGGCAAGCTGCTGCTGGGGGGTACAGTGGGAGGGGGCGGGCAATGCATTTATGCTAATGCTGGTAGGATGCCGTGGCAGAGGGTGTGCAAACCCAGTACAAAGCCCAGTAGCCAGTCAGTGATGGCATTGCTTTGTCACGGAAGTTCTCACCACAATTAAAAACAAAAAGGGCTCTTGTGCCTAGAAAAGGGGGCTAATGGGGTTGACATTTACTTGTCCCTGAGACTGCTGCCTATGGTCCTCCTTTGACATGGCCTAATCGTCCCCAAGGAGCAGTTCAAGAACAGAAGCCACGAGCTGTGAACAGCGTTCCCCGTATAGGCACACCTGGCCAGTCTCCTCTGGATGGAGGGACAGAGCCAGAGAGCTGAGCTAGCCCAGGGATGGGTAAACTTTTAAGTTGGAAGAGCCGATCCTGTCTCTCATAACAATTTAAAAATTATTCAAGAGCCATAAATATATACTTTTTACAAACAAATCATCACTACCTGAATATTCGGCTTTTCCATCTTACTTCCGAGCCGCCACATGGACGTTCGGGAAGAGCCGCCTATGGCTAGGAGCCGCAGTTTGCCGACCCGAGCCCAACTGTGCCTACTTACCATGCTGTACAGGTAAGGTCCCCAGGAGAGCACAGAATCTAGAGGAAAGCAGACATTGAGAAAAATGAGACTTTCAAAGAAAGCCCCACGGAGCTGTCTTCTCAACACAGAAGGAGGCAGATGCAGGAGACCAGAGGCTTTGGATATGAAGGCACTGAACTCCTCGGTGCCTGCACAGGGGACAGGCTGCTGGCTGGGGCTGGGGGGTGGGACAAGGTTGGGGGAGGCGGGCTTGGCTGGCTCCGTGGACTGATGGCATGTTAATTTGGCCTGCTACTGGCCCAACAAGCTTGTCCCAGCCAGCGACAACATCCCCAGAGGTAGGCTGTGGGTGGACAGGTGGCGTTCTGATCTGCACACTTCTAGGCTTTCTGGCAGCTGAAAATCTGGCAGCCCTCTCATTTCAGCTGCGCATCCTATCTGCTCTTCCTGCTTGGGGCCACTCGCTCTGCGGAGGAGCTAATTAAGGAAGAATGAGAAAGACCTGAAGGCAGCCAGGTGCTCAGAAGACAGAACTAGGAGCAGGGCAATACCTGCGCCCAGAGGAGAGATGGGCTTGGCTCCATAACACTAGGTAAGGCAAGTGTCACCCAGAGACACGTGTCCACAGGTGCTCAGGGCTTTAATCTGAACACACATCTCCCTATGTCAACTCTGGTGCTCAAAACCCTTTCGTAGCTCCCTGGGACCAACTTCCTCAAAGTATTTGTGCTAGAATACTCAGTGCTGTATTCTACTGTAGGCACGAGAAGGAAAAACAAATGAGCCCTTGGTTAACTAGCTTTGGAGTTGGGTGCAAGATGACCCATTTCTGGGTTGCATGACTTGACAGGGCCTGCAAACCCCCGGAGGTGGGGCCAGTGTTCAGCAGGTACCAACTGATACCCTTCTTGATACACCAGCTCATGGGACTGGTATTCTTCAGCATACACCCTGAGAAACACCGGGATGCCAGTGCCAGGCCCACTGAGATCCACCTTCCACCCCCCCAGCTTCCTCGCCAAACCTGCACCTTTGCCTAGTGTGCTGAAATACAGAGGATCACCCCCTGCCCCCACCCCCAAGGCAGCCCATGACCTGCTTAATCCAGACCAGGGACTGACCCGCATAAAGGGGCAGACAGCACATCTCTCTGCGCTGCCAGCCGGAGGAAGGTCCGTTTTAACCACTCATGCCTGCTGCTGTAGCATAAAGCCACTCACACACGGTCTGATCCTTCGTGACTTTCAAAAGCAGGTGGCGGGCTGGGGTAGGGACAATAGCTCACAGTCCTTTCTGGTGGTGGTGGAAGTATTCTAAAGTGACACTGTCCACTTCTGTACCCTCTTGCCCCAGGTGGTTATTGAACCCTTACAATTTGCCTGGTGCAACTGAGAAGCTGTCTAATTGTCCTGTTTGTATTGGATACTGTTGATCAAAACCTTCTTGAAGGCAGCGAATGTGTCCTGCGATGGACCTTTGTTTGCTTAGCACCTCAAACTTGAACTTGCTGCCATAATTAGATTACAGCTCACAGCAACCCTGCAGGACACCCCTGCTTTGGGTTTGTAAGACTGTCCATCTTTATGGGGGCTGACAGCCTCAGCGAACCCAAAGAGTGGCTGGTGGGTCCAAACTGCTGACCTTGCAGTTCGCAGCAGCAGCAGCCAAACACGGACCGCACGATGCCACCAGGGCTGCTTGGCCACCACAAAGCATTGCATGGAAATGAAGGGCATTTCTCCTTCAAAAAGGGATTGCCTCTGAGCTGGAGGGGTGACACTTAAAGTGGACCTGGAAAGATGAATTACGATCCAGGAGGGCAGATTCACAAGAAAACAGAAATCCTGGCAAGCAGGGCAGAGTGCACGGCACGGGCTGCTGGTCTGCCACGCAGTGTGGTGGCAAAGTTCACGGGTTATTCCAGAGCCTGCTGCCTGGGCTGAGTCCTGGCTCTGCCACCACCTGACCTTTCTGAGCTCCAGTTTCATCATCTGCAACACTGGGATAATTACAGCATCCGGCTCTGGAGCTGTCATCCGGAGGAATGAGGTGAACACACAGCGCTTAGCAACGCCCGAGGAGCGTGTGGGAGGGCAGGCGGCCCTGCGATGTGGAGCCGGACGCCTGCCTCAAGACCTGCTGGGCCCTCGAGCTTCCAGTCAAGACTTCGTCAGTTTCATGATGTCCTACGGGGGCCACCCAGCAGAGAGCACGCACGGCAGCCCGTCTCGTCTCTGTTTTCAGACACCGAGTCCGCCGCTCAGCACCATAATGTCCACATCCATCAGGGACACTGCTCGGACACACGTCACGTCTCCCTCTCTTGTACGAAGGAAACGTCACCTTTGATCCTTATTGATAAGGTGGAAACATCAATACAGATCACAGATCATAAATGGGTACTTAGATGAGCGCTAGTCAGCGCCTAAACCCATGCAATTGCCACCTGGGTCAATAGATACAGAGCTGATACCGGAGAACGCTCCCTCGTGCCCCTTTCCAACCCCACCGCTGCTTCCTCCAGCAGCAGCCCCTTCTAACCCCCTAGTTGCTTGTTTTTGTCTGTGAAAGACCACCTTTTGCCAAGTTAGAGCAGTAGTTCTCAATCAGGGGTTATTTGCCCCCCGAGAGACACTGGACAAAGTTTGAAAACATTTTCAATCGTCACCACGGCCACCAGGGATCAAGGATGCTGCGAACCACCCTATAATGCACAGGACAGTGCCCTGCAACAACGAAAGATATGGCTCCATTAACCCTGTGTCCAGATTGGGAAACTCTGAGTCAGAGTTAACCCAGTTAAGATGATCGTATCTGGTGTCTGAAGCTACACCCCGATGGCTGCAAGATAAACAACCTATCTTTGCTCCCAGGAGGATGCTCATTATGAAATGCCCAGCCTTTGATTGCAGGCCTGATGGCAATCTTGTCCCATCAACAGGAGCAACAGCCGCGCATCTCACCCCAAAGGCTTGTCCCAGCATCAGGGTGGTGGGAGGAATGAGCAGATGAGGACGGGACGTGGTTTGAATCCTGATGAGGCCACTCACTCTGTGTCAGAGGGCAAACGGAGCAGCCCTCTGGACCTGGAGATGCCTTCCACCATAGAACCTGGAGAAGCTTCTGAGAGAACCCAGTTTCGGACTCGGAGGCTCCTGGGTGGGGTTCTGAAGATGAATTCTCATCCCCAACCCTCACAGATGCACGGTGGCAAGTACTTCCTGTGCTGGCTTCACGAGGGTCCAGAAACATCGACTGTCTTGCTCTTTGGCTGGAGAAACACATCTCCCAAGTCCCAGAGCAGCACGAGGGAGGGAAAGGGGGTCCTTAAGTGCCTGAAAACCGGTACTTACCGATAGGTGAGATCCAGGAATCACCCAAAGCCACCCCGGCAAAGTTGCACTTGATGCTCCCCTGCTGAACGGCCTGAAAAGGGAGCAGCCGAGAATCATGCTTACCAAGCGCACACAGCAGCCCCCACCCTGTCCCTCCGACAGAGGACAGGAGGCCGGCCTTTCTACCCCACCTTCCGAGCACAGTCTCTGCCCACACTTCCCAAGATTCCAGCGCATCGAAAAACCTAAGACCCACTCTTCCTGCTGCTAGGTGCAAAAGGAGCATCTGCAAGCCCCTCTTCCCCGTCACAGGATGCGGGCAGGGCCTGGTGCAGCCCGGGGGCTTCCTGTGAAGGCCGTTGCTGCCCATTCATTCCCCACGAAGGCCTGTGACTTCTCACAGGGTTCTGGATTGGGCGCTGGGCACCACCCGGTCTGAGCAAGCACCTTGAAGAGCTGCCCTGGGCAGAACGGATGTTTTCCTGCCCCTCTGCCCTCCACCGACATGAACAGTAAGTGGGAACCGTCCGAAGAACCTACCCAGCATGGAAAACTAAAAGCCCAACCCACTGCCTTGGTGCCGCCACGCTCCACAGCGGCAGCACGACCCCCACAGGACTGGCTAAAGGACTGACGGTCTCCCCACAGCACACGCACCAACTCCCCCAAAAGATGGAGGAGCTTCTTTATGACTCCACATGGAAAGATTTCCAAGGTACATTTTATATGAAATTAAAAAACAAACAAGTACTAAATAGTATGTCACAGCCCTATTATTTATGTACAAATGGGAAAAGAGAATATGTATGTATTGGCTTATAGAAATCCTGGAAACACCTGTGGAAAGACATGGGACAAACCATTATAACAGAGGTTGCCTTGGGGGGCTGGGAGCAGAGGCAAGAGGGAGCATTCTTATAACATTCATTTCACACAGGATCAATGCAGATGTATAGGAATGTGCATGTGTCACTTTTCACAGAGCTCCAACATTGAGAAAAAGCAGTGAGTGCCCTGCTCTAAATATTGGTAAATCAAGGTGTGTGTAGGGGGAGCGGGGGAGTGTGCATTTCTTTGGCTTTTCCAGAAGGAACTATCTCAAATCCCAAAGTAACCTAAACAGTACCAGGTAACGAAAGCAAGCTCTAATTAAAGAACGAGAGAGAGAGAGAGAGAGAGAGAGAGAGAGACCATGCATTCTGAAGCCAGGAATAGAGTGACTGACCGAGGTGAGAAAGAGGAATGCCTTTCAAACCACGAGGTGAACGATGGACGGGGCACCGGCGTGTACGCAGTGTGGAGACGGCACCACCGAGAGTCCACCAGCCAGAGGGGAGGCAGAGGCATGCCATGACCTAATGTCGGGCAACTCGATCTAGACATGGTGTGCCTTCTGAGACGCAAACCAAGCACACCTCCACTGAGGACAGCTGTGTTTTTTCCTCCTGTAAACAGTCAGATGTGCGCATTTCGACTTTGTGGGTCAAATGGCCTGTTGCACAGCAACTCAACTCTACGTGTCATGCTGAAGCAGCCGCAGACGATATGATAGCACATGTGCACATGCATGGACATGCACATCTGAATGTCATGTCACGAAACAGTATTCTTCTGCTTCCTTCTTACTGCCGCCTCAACCATGAACAAAAAGTGAAAACCATTCTTAGTTTGTGGACTGCTCAGACAGAGGTGGTGGGCCAGGTGGGAACACTGACCTAAAGGCATAAAACAAAACAAACAGACAAAAACACTGCCACGGAACCCATGCCAACTCATAGCCACCCTATAGGGCAGGGTGGGCCTTTGCCCCAGTGGGTTTCCAAGGCTGTAACTCTTTACAAGAGTAGAAAGCCTCCTCTTTCTCCCTCAGAGAGAGGGGGGCGGTTTGAACTACTCACCATGTGTTTATCAGCTCAACGCGTAGCCACTACGCCACTAGAGCTCATGCCATAGTGCATCCAAAATATTTACCTGAAATCTGCCATGCCTTTAGATAGGCCCTCCAGTTGTCTGGGAACACAGTGAACAGAGGAGTACATTAAATAACACTGTGAAGATGATCAGATGGATCCCAAAAACAGGACACTGGGTGTGGCAATGGGAGTCTGACCGGGTCAACAAGCCACTGTTGCAAAGAAAGGGCTGTAACTAGATTAAAACAGGCTCCAGGCACACCCAGCCAGGTGTCACTCCGGATCGAAGGCTAGTTTAGGCAGACCAGCCGTGAGGAGTATTGTGAGATCCACTGAAGAAGCCTTTATATTTGAGGAGACAATGGACTGAAATGAAAAGGTGAAAAAAACCACGGACGAAGATTGCATGTACAAGAGACTCTCGACTTGATGTTTAAGACGTTACAAATTTAGACCCGCCAGTTGTTCTGTGGGAGGATGTGGCCATGTACTCCCATAAAGATGATAGGGTTGGTATGGGCCAGTTTTTCGCTGTCCTGTACAGTTTTTATGAGTTGAGATCTATTCAGTAGCACACAACAACAGCATATGTATTTGTTTAGACAACAATCAACAGTCTTTTTAAGAATAGCTTTGAAGATATAACTACATATGAAAATATATGAGAAATACATATATGTGCACAAGGTTGCTTGCTGCAGCATTGTAATTGCAAAATACTGGTAACAACCCAGGAAATCTTATGAAGGCAATAGTGCATACACACAATGCAAAGAGGAAGATATAATGAAATGGAAGGAGGTATTTCCAGCATACAAGGGCATACACCCCCCTTCCGCCCCCCACCCCACCCCCCCCAAAATGGGCAAAGCTCTGCTGGGTGGAGTTTTCATTGTACACATTTTTTCGCCACTAGGCTAGCATGAAGCAACTTGCTCTGAGTGAGTGCACCCAGTGGCATCACCTGGAAAAGTTCTCTCTGGTCACAGTAGTTTTTTTGTGATGGGCGATTTAAGAGAACAACCTGCAGCTGTGAAATTTTGTTTCCTCCTTGGCAGAAAATGCCGTAGTAACTGTTGTGATGTTGAACACAGCTTATAAGGACAGCGCCATGGGAAAAGCTCAAGTGTACAAGTGGTTTTCTTGTTCAAAACAGGTAAAGTGTCGATTGATGACAAACCTCGTTCTGGACATCCATCAACTTCCCGAACAGACGAAAATGTCAACTCGTAATGCATTTGGAGTTCATTCCAGTAAAGCTTTCTATTGAGAAGTTCTGAAAAGGTTGGGTAACAGTGTGTGACTTAAACGGCCTGATCTGTGGCAGACTGGGGACTGGTTTTACCACCATGACAGTGCACCATCTCATTGTGCCAGTTTGTGGCAAAATCCAGCACACTTCTCGACCCACGCAGCTGCCTCACCTGACCTCACTCCGTGTGACTTTTTCTGGAAATGAAGTGGGACATGAAAGGACTCATTTGACGATGTAGAAGAGGTGAAGAAAAAAAACAAGGGAGGTCAGCCTGATTCACAGTTATCAAGTGTCTATTAAAGGGAATTTGGAATTTAAGATGTATGGATCTAGGAAAACAGGAATGCATTAAAAATTAAATGGAACACGTGAATATCCTAGGCATTAGTGAGCTGAAATGGATGTGTCCTCTTGTATTTGTCATCTTGGTTTAGACAAGCATGTGATGTGCTATGCTGGGAATGGCAAACTAAACAGAAGTGGTTTCACCTTTGTAGTTAAAGAGGACATTGCAAAAAAAAAAAAAGGACATTGCAAGATGGTAAGGATATAACAATAGTAATACAAAGATAAAAATACAAACACTGAGTAAGAAAGAAACTATTAACATTAATATTTTAAAAGCCAGAGAAGAAACAGTTACCATGGAACAAGCAAGACTAAGCAACAAGCAAGAGATCCGTGCACCTAGAGCAATGTCAGGTCTGGTCTAGACTAGAGTCTAGTCTAAGATGGGTTTTGGGTTCCCACTGTCCTCCACAGCCTTCCACAAATTGATGTATGTATGGATTGTGATAAGAGTTGTATGAGCCCCTAATAAGATGATTAAGAAAAAGAAAGAGTAGCAGCTTAGACCCTTAGAGATCGAACGGTATAAGACAAAAACCCATGGGCTGTACTCATATAGATTCCTCACATCGACAGTCGATTGGGCTCTGCTAACCCCAAGCATGGGGGTTGTTGATGCCCGTTTGTTCTTTATTGGACACTGTGCCAGCTGTGTGATGTGCATTGTCACAGACACAAAACCAGAACTTTCCCCAAGCCAGCCACCAGGCCTCCTCGAACCCTGTGAGAGCAGGTGACATCACCTGGCCCAGTGGGACCACAGGAAATGATTCCTGCTTACCCCTCATGTCTATATTAAACACCTCTCAATTGGGTGTGTGATTGGGATCGGACAAAATCCAATGAGTGAGTTAAGTGGTGAATAAATTCTCTTGGAAAGGATGTTCTGATGCGGGGCTTAGACAGTAAAGAAGTGCGCAAACGCCTACCGCAGGTGATAGTCACTGCCATTGAATGTGGATAATAGCTCTGAGCAGCAGCTGCGGCCTGCCTCCACGAGCCAGCTGCCCTTTTAACGTGTCGTCGTTACTAGGTGCCAGCCAGTCGACTCCGACCCCTAGCCACCCTACGCACCACAGGACGCAAGTGCACGATCCCGTGCCATCCTCACAATTGCGCCTGTGCCTGGCCTCGATGATGCAGCCACTGTGTCGGTCCATCTCGATGAGGGCCTTCCTCTTTGGGGCCGCCCTTCCGCTTGACCAAACGTGTCCTTCTCCAGGGACTGGCCGCTCCTGTGACAATATGTCCAAAGTGTGTCAGGTGAAGCCTGGCCTTCCTTGCCTCTGAGGAGCACTCTGGCCGTATTTCTTTCCACACAGATCCGTTTGTCCTTTTAGCAGTCCGTGGTATTTTCAGTGTTCTTCTCCAGCACCAGTGTTCACATGCAACAATACTTCTACTGTCTTCCATATTTAATTGTCCAACGTTCACATGCGTATGATTCAATGGAGAATGCCATGGCTTGGGTCAGGCACAGCTGAGTCCTCAAAGTAACATCTGTGCTCTTCCGTCCTCTAAAGAGATCCTGTGCGGTAGATGTATATAATGCGATATGACTTGATCTCTTGACTGCTGCTTCCATGAGCATTGATTGTGGATCCAAGTAAGAGAAAATCCTGCACAGGTTCAACTTTTTCCCATTTATCGTGATACGGCCTCTTGGGCTAGTTGTGGTGATTTTGGTCTTGCTTACAGTGAGTTGTACTCCATACCGAAGGCTACAGTTCTTGAGCTTCATCAACAAGTGCTTCAGGTGCTCCTCATTTTCAGCAAGCAAGGTTGTGTCATCTGCATACTGCAGGTTGTGAATACATCCTCTTCCAATCCTGATGCCACACTCTTCTTCATATAACCAGCTTCTCTGATGATGTGCTCAGCATACAGATTGAACAAGTATGGGGAGGGGATACCACCCTGACACACACCTTTCCTGATTTTAAACCATGTAGTATTTCCTTGTTCCGTTTGTACAGCAGCTGCTTGATCATGTACAAGTTCCGAATGAGCACAGTGAAGTGTTCTGGAATTCCCATTCTTCTCAAGGTTCTCCACAATTTATAATGGTCCACACAGTCAAATGCCTTTGCATAGTCAACGAAGCACAAGTACACATCTTTCTGGTATTCTCTGCTCGAGCCAAGATCCATCTACATCACCAAGGATATCCCTTGTTCTACGTTCTGTTCTGAATCCGGCCTGAGCTTCTGGCAGTTCCCTGTCATGTACTGCTGCAACTGTTGGGTGATCCTCAGCAAAATTTTACTTGTGTGCAGTATCACGTAT